GCTTCTACAAGTTAGTTATCATTGTATGTACCAAATTTGAGGAACGTAACTAAAAACTTGGGCACGCAGTGAACATTTTTCTGAAACAGGGATCTATCATATGATGTAACCTTAAAGTGTCCCTGTCACAAAATGAGAGTTTATATTTTCGAAATCTATGATACAAAATATACGGAAATTCGAAAACAGAATTGAAATTGCTTTTTTAGTGTAAAAGTTATTGCCGTTTAAACATTGAATTTGGCCTTGTGAAAAATCTGAAAACCGCGCAAAAGGGCCTGGGACGAAACAATGTGTGTGACGTAATAGTAGGAACTTATGTAGCTCACTAATATAGAAATACTATTGCATGTACTATCATAGAGGAGGCAATAGCGCAAATAAAAGTCACGAAACTGAAAAATTGCCGAATATATGTGTAGTAGGCGGTTGTTCTAATGTCACAGATACAGAGTAAGGCATTTCACTTCATTTTATACCTTTTACTGGAGGCGAGATGCACGAAGCGAAAAGGACACGGATTGACTTCGTGCACCTTAAACCAGCAATATGAGATCCAATGTTCAGCATACTTTGCGAAGATAGAGCTTGCTGGTAAAACCACGGTTAGCTACCGACGAAATTGGTTTCATTGCAATTCCAAAATATGCAAATACTGTCGACGACAAACCTTTGTCTGCGAGAGCCAAGAGAATGGTATATGTATAATTTATACTCTAATTTCGTTTATCATGCACTTGAATATGGCCTAGTGCAATTTTTATTCCAAATTCGTTATTTGAATAGGTTGTATTTAGAAGCTGCTTCGATGCAGTCAACCGATATGGTCATAGTCACGAAACTGGAAAGCGCGATAAATATAAATGAGCCACAGCCAATGGATTCACCAGAAATATAAAATATCGCGACAATATAGCTATGACTATGAGTGAATATGGTCAAAATATAGCTGATGAAAGCCAATTTCTTACGTCTACAAGCAATGTGCACTGTTTGTATTTTAGTTTAGACAGGGAAAGTAGAATTGTACGTATAAGTAAACTTGACGCAGTAAATTATACATATATACACTCGTTGTGTTTGCACCGCAGTGAAAACCCGTACAATATGCAGATTTTGTAACAAATTGTGGCATGAAACCGGATACACTGCGGGGGTGTATATAAAATGTATTACAAAGTATAATCCATTGAAGCAACTTAATGAAATAACTTAGTCATTGCCACATTTGCTAGTATAAGGCAGTGCATGGAACGAAATACAAGTCAGAAAAATTCCTAAACGTGCTGCAACACTTTGTACAAAATTAACCCGCACGCACGAAGTGCAGAAAAACATCAGATACAAATCTTAATCTCAAATTTCAGTCTCTTTGGCAAAACAATATTGAAGTCATAAATATAACAAATGTGCTGTTTCTATACGCAATACAGTATAATATTACCACGTTTATACAGTGTAATAGGTTTATTTATTGAAAAATAGTTATATAATATCAAGAGCTGTTCTCTACAAATCTACAAAGTCTTCATCAACAGCAGGCATTATTTTCTCATATGCGCAAAAATGTTTATTTCCTAGTTGTCCATAAACCATCCACACAAAGTTTCTATATGGTGTGCTCCTTCAGAATCTATAAATTAATAAATAAGTATTTTTAATAAGTCGCTTACTTGCATGTGAACACATGTAAATATATAATAATTCAATAATTGTACAGTATGTACCGTATATATACTCTCAGTTACCGTACCGCATGCGTGTGTTCACTGATAGTAAACTCGGGTACGGTAAAGTGTTTCTTAATTTCAATATGTTGATAAATAAAACTTTATTTACCTATCTTCTGTGCTTGTTGACGGTATTCCTGTTTCTTTCTTGTTCGTAATTTCGTGGCTGCTGAACGGAGAGCTGATGCACTTATCTGGCCATAGCTGTTGAATTATACATGATGGCGCGACTCGCCGACTTCAGCTTCTTGCATCACAAATCACAATGTCACTGTGTAGAGAATCGACGCACTCCTCAATTTCCATACAACATTGACACTCTTTAGCATAATTTTACAAAGCAGTTCAATGCGACAATTGCCACGTTTACACATGAAATATTATAGTTTGTAATTTACAACACAAGGTCAAGTCACGCAACAAAATCAGAGTGAAATATTTACCATTTACTCAATTCTTCTGAACTATCAAGCCCTTTGTTGTAATTGCTTAAGACGTTCGTTGTGATTGCTTTTTTTCGCGATAACTTTTGAGCCAATCTTCGTCGGTCACTGCATGGTTCATTAACATATGGATCAAGCAGCGCCGATCATTTGTGCGCACGACGTTGACCACGCTTCACTGGTGTTTTCATCGATTTCATTCGATTTGATACGGCCCAGGAATATAATTTCAGGCAGTCATCGCTTTGGTAACTGTTATTTTCCGTATCTGAACTCGACGAAGACATTTGTATCGAATTTTGTCCAGCTTGATTGTGATTCTCACTTAGTATTTATATACTTTTCACTTAGGCGAGAAGGCAATGTCTTCCTACTATGACGTATTAGTTACCAATTTCCCAGCTTCGCGGTTTTCAAAACTTTTGCCGTTAAAATTTGAAATTTTCAAATTTCATTGCCTTATTACTCTGTGAAAACAAGCTCAATTTTAAATCTGTTTTGTATTTTCATAATCTACGTTTCAAGACGATTCTAATGATGTAAACTCTCATTTTGTGACAGGGGCACTTTAAATGCCTGACTGATCACATCATGGATGCAATCCCAATGTGCACCTTTTATATTCGCAGTCACAGTTAATTCCTACCCAGGGGGTGGGGCAGGGTTTATATTGTTTAGTCCATTAAATTAATATTATATCATTAGCAAATGTTATGTCAGACCAATACAGCAAGATTTGCCACTAAATGAAGATGTTCTTTCTGTTGCAATCCAGAAAGTATGTAGAAATTAGATTGATAGATTAGATTGATAGATTATTTAATAAGATTTACATCGCAGCCCAAAATAGCTGAATTGCGTAAAATTTAAATACAAAAATTGAAAATTACCATGCTATGGTAGATTTGGTTCGCCTAAGGGATCACTATACACTTTTTAGCACATATATATAAACCCTGCCCCCCCCCCCTGGGTACAAATTGACTGTGACTGCGAATATAAAAGGTGCACATTGGGATTGCATCCATGATATGATCAGTCAGGCATTCAATTACGGTAACACTAAAGGCAAGAATATCATTGTATTGCCCTAGGATCAGAACAAGAAAGCTTTTTCTGTGGAACGGTCACTTTCACCTCCCCAAGTCCTGCTACCAATAACTCTCTTTGTTCTTCACCATCTGGAACTTCCTGTTGTTCTTTGTCTGCTAAACACACAAATTTTTTCGTAATACGTTCTTTAGAGATTTATTGCTACAGTGATTTGTGCCGTTCTATTGTAACATGCTGGCCTAGAAGTTGAGAAAAAAATGGTGCGGAAATAGTTTTTGCAATTCGCTGTGAGTTCTGGAGCTAGAGGTGGAAGTGCTTCCAGCTTCTTGCAGCAACATAGATGACGAACTTGCACATCATGCACAATTTACGTACACGAATAGTGTCATCTATCGGGATCCACTATAATGTATTAAATAATGTTACTGAGTTATCAGATTGATTCGCGTTTGTAACCCTAAAAGTCTTATTAGTTGCTCGTTTGAGCAATTGCCCCAAACTGTGCAGCATTATTGCGAGACAGGTTTAACGGATGGTGTTACACGGTGCAATGCCAGCGAAAGGAGCTCTCAATCGCTGCAAAAAGTTGAATTTTTTCGCGAAACTTGTCTCGCACTTGGAAGGGTGTTACACGTTGCAATGTGTTACAAAACCTGTCTTGCAACGGCGTTGCGAGACAGGTTCCACAAATCGTTGCATCGTGTAACAGAAGCTTCATATTTATAGATATGCAATGTTTAATATCTTGCACCCGACAGACTTAGCGGCAATGAACGGCTGAACACACTACTTTAACAACACTGGTTAATGTTTATGAATATATGTACAAATGCATTTTGAAAAATAACCTATCGATAAGGAAAACCATTACGGAACACCTGAGCAGCACGTGAAGGAATCTGGCTGTTTCTGGTGCGGCCATGTCCTATAAATGAAATATATTCATTGACGTTCACGCGAAGCAATGTTTGAAGAGAAACTTCGAAAGCTATGAACCATTAAAAGTCGAAGATGCGATACAAAAAACGACAAAATTGTTAACCTACTAGAAGAGAGTGATGAGGAAAGATACTGATAGCTGAAAATACGAAAGAGTCTTTAGAGTCGATGAAAATTGTTGCGGGTGCTAAAGCGACCCAATTCAAGAGTATGAGCTTTAGAAACTACTGCAAGTTTTCTTGCACTTCCGGTTCCGTGCATCCCAAGGCCAATGAAGGTCGCGCGCGACCGAGAGACCCTGGGAACGGCGATGTTTACCGTTACAAAATACAAGTCTCGTCACTACTCGGACTTTATATGTTTCATTCAACCATTCGTGGTTGCATAAGACATGCTTTGTCCCTGCTCGGATTTAATAACGATTCAGCCCTTCACCTCAATATTTACAGGCGGGTGAATGCCTCTCTATGGCTAGGAACATGGCGACAGCATTGCAACTGCTACGCCAAAATGATAGGAAAAACCAAGCAGTTCGGCCTTGTTCGGTCTGTGAGGTCCCTATTCTGTGCCATGGTATTACCATGTCATTGATTGTTGTAGTTGCTTTTGAGGGCGAGCGAGTAGGCAGGATAGCGATCTCGTGAGAAAAAAATCTATTTCGTGAATGAATTATAAATGCTGAAAACGCAAACCGTTTTTCTACTGTTGTGCTGACAACATCGATATCTTGACTCTTGTTGACATAAGAGGTTATCATATTTATCTTGACAAAATGTTTTTTATTTCTTTCAGTATCACGTTCAGTTGAGTTTCACGTCAAATAATGGGATCCACTATGCAAGAGCTACGAGAACTAAGGAGTGATCCAGAGTATCTTAACTTCATCGCAGTTGGTGAAGCACTGAGAATCCTAGGTGATGGCTTACGTCATTATACCCAGCAGACAGCCAAAGAGCTACAAGAGCAGCTTATAAAGAAACTTGGAGGATACTGCAATTGTCTGTTTACGCCTGGAGTAAAACGTTGTCGTCATACGTGTAAATGGGGTAAAGCATTGGAGAAATTACATGTGAATAAGAAGAAAAGTCGTATTCCGTTTCATCAAAGTGACAGTACACTGTGGGATGATCCTAGTAATGGGTACTGGGAAGTCGCGAAGATTTTCATGCACGAATTAGGAGCAAAATGGCGGGATGTAAAGGACCCTGCTACAACGGATTTAACCGGCCTTTTAAACTTCTTAATATTCTGTAAACACTCAAAAGTTCAACAAAACTTGCTTAAGACAGTCCGCGATTTGAGAAATGACTGGGCACATACTAAGAATTATAAGTTTAGTGCATCAGAAAAGCAAGCAGCGTTTAACGCTATTGACAAGCTAATGAATGATGCTGAATTATTGTCTTGTAAAGAGGTCCAGGATTGTCGCCTAGGAGTCAATGAAGTGAAAAACCCAGATGTTTTATTTGTACAAGAGAGAGATTTAGAAGTTTTGAAGGAATTAACACGACACCAGGAATTTACAAAGGCGAGAGACACAGAAGAGAAGCAAGAAAAACTGATGAACCTGCTTGAATTATTATCATCAAGAAATAATGGTCTTCCACAGAGCGACACTTCAGATAACCAGTTCAAAGAAGATTTGCATGACTTTGGTGCTACGTTTATTGCCATTCTTCTGTTTCCAGCTAACGTTATAAAGCAATACAGTCGCTGGAAAGCTTTTTCATTTTTAACCCTGGTGATGTTATTGTTATCGTGCGTTAGTGATGATTCCGTGTTGGAGTCTGATAATGGTACGTTTATAGTATTTTTTTGACATTAAAGCCACGTATACAGATGATTAATTTTTCCTTGATGTCTCTTATTTTCTCGTGTGTAAGGTAAAATATTAACAATTTTTCCTTGCCAAGAAGTTTTGTCCAAAGCTGGTCATGCCAGCTTTTGGACAAGAAAAATTTGTTCGTGTGTTACGGCCGCCAAGGAAATTTAGACATCGTTTACAAATTCGTCCCTTTTGGCCGTGTAAACACAGGAAAACCACAAAACCGGACGAATTTGAGACCCTTTAACAGGACGAAATTATATATACATATATATATATATATATATATATATATATATATATATATATATATATATATATATATATATATATATATATATATATATATAATATATATACCGGGTGGCCCAAAAAAGTACTCCTGTTTGATTCGTAATAACATCTAAACAAGTATAGCTTTTAAAGAGAAATAACTTGCATCAAATAGAGGAAGGACTAACTTAGACTTTGATATATTACAGTTGTATTTCACTTAAAAATTCACGGAGATATTAATCTTTAAATTCGGGAGGATATTTCTGGATGTGTCTGAAATACGCAAAAATCGGCGTATCAAATATTAATCAAGATTTGCCCGACTGAAACATGCACTATTACCAGTAAATAAATGACACTTGACAAATTGTTTATTATGAAACAAAGTATTATTATATCTACAAAATACAAGCAAGATTCATTCGTCCGAAATTCGCGTGTGTTCCTAGCACGAATACGTTTCCTTATTTCATGAGACCACTGCATCGCGAAGGATCGTCATTGGATCGTTCGTAGTTCTGAATTAGGGCATGCTGTCACAACGGAATTGTGAAGCTCTTCTAACTTCTGCAACGTTCTGAAATCTTGTTAAGAACACCCAAACTCTTTTGCCGTTTCTTAATCTTGGCAAGTTCATGGAGTAAACTGAGAATTATATGAAACACAATCAAACCATACAACTCCATAAGACATAACAATTAAGCAACTCCCCAGAGACATGCAACATTTTTGGAACAAAACGTAACAAAATAGTAGCGTTGATACGGTGACGTGTATTTGCAAAAAGCAATATTATTTCCTTCAATAAAGAATATTCATCCTGCTCTAACCGAGAAATAATCTACTCAGTCTGTTTGAACCCATTAAAAACATAAAAAAATTACGCTATTTAAGAATACGAAAAATTTAAGCGCCTGCCTTCCATGATCAGTCTTTCATGTACATTTAAGTTTGCAAAGACCTAATATTAAATACTTGCATAATTTCGAACGTTCATATTTCAGGAAACAATGAGCTAAGACTTACATGTAAGATGTCTAAATCTACGCCATATCCCTTACAAACCTTAACGATAATTCGCTGAAATACAAGTTAGCCTAATATGTCATTAAGCAAACAAACGCTGGAGTTAATATTTGATATGCCGATTTTCGCTAATTTTAGACACATTCCAAAATATGCTCCCCATTTTTAACATTAATATATCCGTGAATTTTTAAGTTAAATACAACTGTAATATATCAAAATCTAAGTTAGTCCTTCCTCTATTTAATGCAAGTTATTTCTCTTTAAAAACTTTACTTGTTTAGAAGTTATTACGAATCAAACAGGAGTACTTTTTTTTGGGCCACCCGGTATATATATATAGTCTGAGTTTCACGCTTTACGCGATCATCAGGCAACTGACAGATTATTATTATTATTATTATTATTATTATTATTATTATTATTATTATTATTATTATTATTATTATTATTATTATTATTATTATTATTATTATTATTATTATTATTATTATTATTATTATTTAAGCTTATTTATTCACGGTAGCCTTTCAGAAGCCTGTTTTTCAAAGGGCCGTGCACACTTACTATAAAATATTATAAGAATATTAAAATTATTAACTAAAAAAAATAAATAAATAAATAAATAAATAAATAAATAAACAATCATGCATAATATACTCTATTTACATCGGCAAGGCATAATGCTTTGATATGGTTTGGCAGGATGACCTCCCAATTCAAAAACACAAGCCATCTATTAATCTTTTAAAAGAACAGATGGAAGTTTCATGTATTTCCATAATTGGAAGTTTTTCCATTAAAATTTGGTTCCATGAAACTGCTCCTCTATAGGAGAAGCTTCGTTTTAAAAAATTCGTCTTAGGTTTTGGTAGATAAAGCTTTTGATGATTATTTCGTAGATGGTAGGTTTGGTTAACGGAGACATGAAACATCTGTGTTAAGTATTCTGGAGCCATACCCCTAAGTGCTTTAAATGTCATCAATAATTCCCTCTTTTTTAGTATTGAATGTATTTTTGTCCATTTGAGCATTTGAAAAATTTCAGAAGATCGTTCTTCTAAGCCCGAACTGGTAATGACCCGTGCTGCACGCTTTTGCAATTTGAGCATTTTTTCGGCGTGCATTTTATTACCATCATACCATATAGTTGAACAATAGTTGAAATAGGGGAGTACAAATGACTTATACATCATCTGTAGTGTTGCTTGAGGTACGTAAGGCTTCACTTTTCGTAACATAGCTATAGAACAAGAAATCTTTTTAGTTTGTTTTTCAACATGTTTTGTCCATTGTAGTTTATCGTCTATTTCTAAGCCTAAGACCTTTTTCTTGTAAACCCGTTTGATTATATGATCTCTAATTTTAATAATAGGGTCATTTCTGATCTGTTTTAAGCGCTTTCCTGAGCCGATTAGCATATACTCGGTTTTTTATATTATTCGATATTCATAATAAATACAGGTTATTATTTTACAACTTGATTAAACAGGTATCTGGTTACATGTCTACATTTGGAAAACAAGTCAGAGCGTTTGTTCAGGCATTTAGTTTTCCTCGCTTTCATAATGAGTAGTTTCTCCTCTAGACATAAAATGCACCGTTTAGATCCTGGTTTGTATGCTTTGACTTTCATCATGATGGACCACTTTATTGTATACTGACTGTTTTCTGACTTCAGTTTCCAAACGTACTTGGACAGTTCGGTGTTGTTTTTGTATTCCTCATGACGGAAAGACTTAGTGTGATTGCAGTATCTTGTTTTGAAATCGCCCGCCGTGATGCCAATGTAGATCTTCTTTTCCTGGTTGTTGTTGGCAGTGCATGCATGTTGGTTGCCACTTCGGCTTTGTATACGATACTCTCGGTGAGACATTTTTTAGCAAGTGGGCAGTTGGCGGGTTTTTGGCAGTTGCACGTCGGCGTGTCGTTTTTTGTAGGTGTTGGTACTACCGTCGGTATAGCTGATTGTATTACTCAAGCAGTTGGTGTTCGTTTTGTGTTTCGGTTCAGTATTTTACGATTATGTTTACGGATGAGATTTTTCATGTTTGTCATACAACTGTAACTGACACGTGCTGCATGTGTGGCGGTTGAAAAAAGTTTGTGCAGTTTGTTTGAGGGGGGAAGGTGCTTGTCGATTAGGTTTAGGATGTCAGTTGTGCTACATTGGTCTTAACGTTTTTGCTATAAGGGGGATTGTACTAGCCTCCTTCGCAGGCATCGCCTTTCGATTATCGGGCAAAATTTCTTGCAAGCAAAAAAATTAATAGCGGCGATGCCTGCCAAAACCCGAAGACTTTGGACCAGCTATGTAACCCTTGTGGACCAACTATGTTACCCCCACCCCCATGGGATTAATTGTTCATATTAAAACTACTACAAAATGTCAAAAGCTGTGTTACCCCTTCTCCCATAGGATACGATCTTCTTAGATTCAGATACAATTCGAAAAAATATCGATGGGGAATATCATTTTTATGATTATTTTGCCCTTACAACGGATGGCCGAAATTTAACGACATCAATAATACAAATATACGAAATACAGATGGTCAAACCACGCCGAAACTATGTAAATCGTATCGAGAGACGAAGTGTGAAATGTGAATGGAATTTATAAGAATTATTGCAACCGTTCAATTTATATTTGGTCTGTATCCTACATGCATATAACATCAAATATTAATACTTTTGGGAAATGGAATACTCTAGAAGGCAGATGGAGTGGTAAATGTCAAAATTTCAACTGGATAATGGATGCTCTTGCCTCTTGGAATTGTCGATTACTGTTATACGTATATTGGACGTGCATGACATTGAAACTGGTTTGTCAACATTCAACACAAATTTTGAGATATTCCAGCAAAGAACAAACTTCAAATTTACAATCCCATGTGCTTTTACGCTGTATGTTATTGTTACTCGTTAGCGAGAAATATCTCGGGGATTTGTTGAGTACATGTACAGCATTAAACTATATAAACGCTGTGTAAACTGCTTAGTGCTGACTGTGCTTCTAACACAAATTTCATGCAACTAATCGGCAAGTTGATCAATTGTAAGAAGTGTTTATATATTCAATAATTATAAATCAAGCAAAGTTATACAATTTATATCGTTGCTGTATTATGTTTCAAGATTATTCTACTGCTTTACTGCATGGTATTAACCAGTCTGCCTTCCAGCTGACTAAAATTTTAAACAGCCATCTAAAAATTTGGATTGTCACTTGAAAATTGACAAGAAATAGCCTTTATGCCACCAAAAGAGATACACCTCCATGTGTAAATAATACAGGGATCGATCCAGCATGATCTGGTAGGGGGGCTGCTCTGCAAGCTCTGCAGTGGCGCCGCCAGCTCGATAACTTGGGGGGGGCGAATATTCATATATTTGTGTTCACAGAGCAGAAAACAATCAACTTCAAAAGAAGTTAATAATGCAAAACACGAAGATATGAATAATTCGCCTCCCCCCTCCCCAATTATCGAGCTGGCGGCGCCACTGAACCTCTGGTGCAGAGTTGTGTCGGTCATGTCTGCCACTCGTCCATCAACATACTACATGTACATTTGAATTTTAATTGTTGTTCACAGTTTGCTTATCATCATGTTATTGCTCAAATTACTGTATCTCATTTTGCCTCTATTTTTTTATGAAAAAAGC